CCGCCCCGCCCCGCCCCGCCCCGCCCGCGGAGCTCAGGCCGCGCCTGCGCAGCGAGGGGTCCGCCAGCCGCCTATCAACGCCGATAGCCCCACCCCTGCCGGCTTCACCGGCGCTGCCCCAACGCTAACGCTGGCCGATTGGCTAGTTGCCAGGTCCGGAGCGCAGATTTAAGGGCAGGCTGCCCTCACTCTCTATTTTATTCCACGTTTCCCTAAAAAGTGCACCTTAATGTGCTTCTGCAACTTGATATTTTCCCCTGTAATATCAGACACATTCTTTTTACGATTTTTCTGCAGGGTGGCACTCCACACTGTAGGAATAAAACGCAATTTCTCCGCTCAATAACGGATGGCATTGAAGTTATTAGTGTTCCGCTAACACACACAGGGGCTTGCACACACACACGCAGTGCCGCTAATCCCATTTCTACAGGCGTCTCCGTTGGGGCCACCTAGAGTTTATAGCTGTCGTTGACAGTTTCTCCCGGGTCTACACGCCTACTCGCAGCTTGCCGAAATAGTGACATGCACGTGTTCAACTTTACTAAACATTGCCAAATTCCTTCTCCGAAGCGTTTGTACTTATTCACTACCTGCAGTTTTTCAGCTGTTCTTTTCATATTTCACTCTTTAGTCCACTTAGGTAGGAATCCGACTTTTTTCCATGTAAGAACGGGCTCACCATCATTGAATAGTCCATCCTTTTCTCCTGATTTGCATTGCTACCTCTGTACATATACAGGTACATATACATGTTTCCACATTTTAAATAGCTTTTTTTCCTGTTTATAAAGTAATGCTTGTTCACGACAGACAATCGGGAACCCCCAGAAAAGCACAAGAATGTTTATCTGATCATTTAATCCTTATGTCAACTCTGTGGGGGACGTTTCCATTCCCAGAAATCCCTGGGTTCTCCCAGATCTCTGTTCCAATGTCTCCTGTCAACAATGGATGACTCTAGGCCTGGGGCTTGGAAGGGGAGACTCCTCAAAAATCTGGTGGCAGCAGAAAATAAAGAAGTGCTCTAGGAAAGAGGGAGTGAGGACATGTTATTTGAAAAAAGGAGTCAGTTTGAAGGGGCTCCCACCGGCCAAAACTGGGACAATTTGAGTATCCAAAAGGTAGTGATGTTTTTTTTAAAGTTAATGACAGTACAGGATCATAACTCAATAAGCAAAAAAATCTATTAGTCCACACTGACAAAAACCTAAGTTACATAGAAGAGGGAAATTCTTTACAGAAAAATGTCAACTTACAGATTTTGAAGGAATGATAAAATTAGAAAACCACCCTTTTGCACCAAGAAGACAGTGATTCAGGCAAGAGTCATCATTCAATGCGAAAGGTTGTTTGGGAACAGCGTGTGTTTACACAGGGTCTCAAAGTCTCACTCTACAGGTTACTTATTAATCATGAGGTTTGGAAAACGGAAGGCTTCTGGCAGAAACCACCTGGAACACGCAGGAAGACACGACATCATCTATGTAGCATATGGTCCTGCCCCAACATGCACAACCTAAGCGCAAGGGTGAGGAAAACAGCCCCAACCCCATGGAGAGAGACGCTGAGGAAAGTTAGCCTTGACTTTGCAAAACTGTCATGTCAGGAAGAACAAAAACAATAAAACGAGATCTCAAGGCGGGGTCAGAGATCTGGGAGGAAGGCTAGGGAGTCATGGCAACGAAATGCGTCGTGTGGCTTCCCAGTTAGGTCCTGGGTTTTAAAAAAGAGCTAGAAAGGGCATTACTGGGACAACTGGGGACACTAATATGGACAATATATTAGATAATAGCATTGAATTGGCGTGAGATTTCCAGAATGTGGTCATTTTAGTTTAGTAACATAGGAGCATGTCCTTGTTTTTAGGAGATAGATACTGAAGTATTTAGGTGGGCGGTATCACTTATCGCTAATTAATGGTTCAGGGGGGAAATGGGGAGTATACACATACACACACAGATCAAGGGAGAGAAAAGTGGACATTCAGCTGCTGAATCTAGGTGTATGAATGTCACTTGACTATATATTCAACTGGTTTGTATATTTGACATTTTTCACAATAAAAAACTGCAGGAAAAAATAAATGTCTCTGTGAGGTACACAGAAATGTGCCAACCAGATTCCTCCGCTAGTAACCCCGCTGCCTCAGATGCAGAGAGTAGGGTGGGTCTACAGACACTTTCATTCAGTTGCCCACCCCTCCAGGGGCTGCCTGGGTTGTGCAGTTGTCGGGCCCAAGGTCATGTCCTTGCAAGGGTGGCCCATGTCTAATGACTGATGGAGGCAGGAGGGCCCACGGGACAACTCTGAGGGGCTCGCTTATCACCAGAGCTTCCGCACGCGGTAGGCCGAAGCCCAGGGGCACTGCCCCCCAGCTTCTCCCTGTCCAACCCTGCTGCTTCCTCCTCTCCCATCTCTGCACACGTGTGATCCCTGTCCTAAACTCCCATCTCCAGGTCCCTTCCTGGGGAACCGACCTGTGATGGCCTCCTAGCAGAGAGCCCTGCCTGACACCCCTAAATAAAACTTGCTACTTACACAATCTCTCACCCTGCTTTAATCTTCTCAATACCACCCTCTGACGCCCTCCATACCTGCTTGTTGATTGGTTATTACGCCCCTTCTCCCCGCCCCCCAACGTGAGCCCGGAGCAGGGATTTTATCCGCTTGTTGGGTTGCTGTGGGCCCAGCACCTGGGCACCAGATACTCTGTGTTTGCTGCGTGCCTTTGAAGCACCACTGGCAGAAGAGAAAACGGAGGCATGGGGCAACCAGCTCGCCCACAACCTCCCAGTTGACGAGGGGCGGAGCCTCGCGCAGGCTCTCTTGGCCACCCCCGCAGCGCCCCTGCGGCTCGGAAGTAGGCCTGGTTCCCCGCCCACGCTGAGCAGGCCACCCTCTGGGCGGCCCCTCGGCCGTCAATCTCGCGCCCCGCCGCAGCAGAGTGGCGCGCGAGGTGGCCCGGAGTCAGCTCAGGGGATAGGACGAGGCGCTGCGGCCAATCGCGGGGCGCAGGGACGCCAGCTGCGCAGGGCCCGCCTCGGATTGGTCGTCCACCGCAATACGTCAGCGTGGGGGCGGGACTACGATTGGGTTACACCGCGCGGGTCCGGGCGGCTTCAAAGCTGGTCGGGGAGGTGAGCGAGCGAGCGGTGTTTGCAGGTGCCGGACGCGCAGGTGGCTGGGCGCGCAGGTCAGGGCGCGTGCGCAGCAGGTGAGGAGGCGATGTGTGCTCAGGTGGGCACAGGTTGCGTCGCGTAGGTGAGATTGGGGCCGTTGCTTTGGAGGCGCGCTCAGGTGAGGAGGGGTGGCATGTGTTCAGGTGAGGAGAGGCTGGAGGTGTAGGGTCGCCGGTTGGCCTACCCCGAGACGGTTCCTTGGGGACGTTCTGTCACGGTGTTCGGGAGCTCAATGGGGCAGCCGTGGAGGGGCGGAGCCGGGTCAGTGCTGCGTGGGCCCGGTAGGCCCACTCCTTCCCCGGGTGCCCCATGCGAGCGGATCCAGTTTTCTGTTTGACGAAACAAGTGAGCAGCAGCTGGAATTAGGTAGAAGCCGAACCTGAACTGCTTTACTAGAAATGAATTTTTTTTGGGGGGGGGAGGGTAGGGGACGAGGTGGGTCAGGTTGATGCACAGGAATTGTGCAGGAGGCCACAAAAGGCCCCACAGGCCCTCTCTCCTTTTCCAGCCATTCCCACTTTCCAGCTCCTAAAATAATGATATTGCCTCTTTCCTGGACATGCCAGGTCTGACAGTTAAGTTCGAGAGCTTGTTGCAACAATGTGGGTAACCTTTTTTGACATCAGAGGGATTATTCATTATGAATTTGTACCAACTGGACAAACAGTTCACCAAGCTTACTATTTGGAAGTGCTGAAAAGGCTGCGTGAAAAACTCAGACGACCTGAACTTTTTGCCAAGAATTCACGGCTCTTGCATCCCCACAATGCACCAGCTCACACGGCACTGTCTGTGAGGGAGTTTTTAGCCAGTAAACAAGTAACTGTATTGGAACTCGCTCCCTACTCACCTGAACTGGCCCCCGGTGACTTATTTCTTTACCTGAAGATAAAGGAAATATTGAAAGGAAGACATTTTGATGACATTCGGGACATCAAGGGTAATATGACAATAGCTCTAATGGCCGTTCCAGAAAAAGAGTTCCAAAATTGCTTTGAAGGGTGGACTAGGTGCTGGCGTGGGTGCATAGCTTCCCAAGGGGAGGACTTCGAAGGTGACCGTAGTGACATTCAGCAATGAGGTAGGCAGCACTTTTTCTAGGATGAGTTCGTGAACTTAATTGTCCGGCCTTATATTATTGCAAAGGTTTTTAAGGACAGGAATTGCTCTGGTAAGATTTCTGACAAAAGGTAAAGAAAGGCAAGGAGAAAGCTCGAAATGAAGAGCATTTTTATTGAACGTAGTTTCTGAGACCTGTCATTTACTGGGCGTTTCCTGTGTATCGGGCACTGTGCTTCGTGCTTTAACCTTAATTCTCAGAACAACCTACTTGTTAGGCATCACCTCCATTTGACAGATGAGACTGAGGCTCCCGAGAGACGAAGTGACCTGTAGAGTCACGTACTTAGAGGGTGGCAGAGTCCATGCTCAAACCTACAACCCTGGCGACACTGCTTTGTTTTGGGGCAACGGCTCCATCTGTAATGCCTTTAGGGGCGTGGGAGTGTGGGCAGAACACCATCCTGGACATTTGCACCCCCCAAACCCCCACACTGATGGTTTGAGGTGACTGGAGAGCAAGAATTCCTCGCCGACTGCATGGCTTCTTTTGCCTGAAAGTTTGTGCTTCTCACCTGACTTTCTCCCTAGAGCTGAGGAGGGAGCTGGGTAGTCTGCCCGCAGATGCACTTGGCACCCAGCGCCCTGGGCATAGGGCGGGGCACCCTCCTTGTGCCCTCCTGAGTTCTTAAAGCTACTTAGGTAAAGGAACAGGAGCCAGGCCCACAGCATGCCACATTGGGAGTCCAGATTTAAGGGTAACCTCTAGTGAAAAGGACCCTTTTGTCCAATCTTGGTGAAGCAAAAAATGACCCGATGTTTCTGAGCACAATCTGGCAAATCTCCTTTCAGTAGACTTTTGAAGTGTCCTGTTTATTCTGTCCAGTATGTGGATGGCTGGTGTGAGGGAGCTGGAGAGGCCAGGTGTTTGAAGGCCCCCAGGAGGGGGCAGACCTAGCGGGTGGAGTCCTTCCTCTTGTAGGACACTTTTCCCACCGACAAACCAGGACACTTTGCAGGGACAACTCAGGGACGTCCACGTACCATTAAATCTTGGATTACTTCTAACACAATCCTCTTCCGTAACTTGCAGCCAAAAAAAAGGGACAGGTTTATATAGTAGGTCTAGAGCAGAGGAAGCTGCATACCAAGGTAGGACAACTTGCAGACGCGTCTAGATACGAACCAATTCTTGGGGAACAAGGAGTGCGTGTGGGTGTGTATTGTGTAACAACTCATGGAACAATCTGGAAGAAGACCCACGGACGTGACTGGCTCCTGGGGATGGATTGGCGGGGAAAGGGGAGGGACTTGGACGCTTGACTTTTAGACTTGGGTTACAGTGAGCGTAGATGGTGCATCTTTCACAAAGCAGACCCCTACGGCTGCTGTCAGAGCTGCAGTTTACCCTCTAGAACAGCGGTTCTCAGCGTGTGGGGCGCGACCCCTTTGGGGGTCGAACGACCCTTTCACAGGGGTCGCCTAAGACCATCAGAAAACAAAAAGATATTTACATGACGGTTCATAACAGTAGCAAAATGACAGTTATAGAGTAGCCATGAAAATAATTTTATGGTCGGGGGTCACCAGAACATGAGGAACTGTATTAAGGGGTCGCGGCATTAGGAAGGTTGAGAACCGCTGCTCTAGAAGGAGAGGTCAGCGTCTCTGGGGATTTCCTTCCACCGACTGTACACGCCCTTTTTCTGGAGGCCTCAGAAACTGCCCCAGCCTGGACCCCAAGCTGGCCGAGGTCAGCCAGGCCAGAGCTCTCTAGCACCGAGAGCTCAAAGGTGGCAGCCCCTGCATTTGGCAAGTGAGGCTTGTGAATTGCCCGTGGGAGTGACAGCCTCAGAGGGCCGGAGGGGGTGCTCGGATGTAGAAAGCTGCAGGGAAACCCAAGAATCACCCCAGATGCTCATCTCCCTGACCCCGTTAGAGCCACAAGTGTTCCCAGAATTGTGGATCTTATGATGCCAAGAGCTGTTAAAAAACTCTTTGTTGTTGTTTAATTATTTTATTATACAAGCACGTATCTGGGGAAAAGAAGGAAAAAAACCCACCCGTATTTTCAGTGTAAGGTTTTGCTGCTTAGCTTTCTAAATAGTCTTTCTAATGATGGACTGTCTTGTAACTTGTCCCTGTGCTTTGACACGTCAGGGAACTTTTTTCCCTGTCGATTTCAGTTTTTTAAAAAATGGCTGAGTATTCCACTGTATGGGTGTGTCGTTATTTATCTGGTCTTACTGATGGTTATTTAGCTGTTGCCAGTATTTCGCAAATATATGCAGGAAACTCCAGTGCAAGTGCTGACCTCCGCGTGTTGACAGCCAGCTGTATAGGGCCCCAGACAAATTCCCTCAGGAGATGCTGGGCCGACTGGCCCCCAGAACGGTCCTCACACCCGGAGAGACCTGTCACCTCCTCGCTGATTCTGAATTTTATCATTCGTGTTCATCTGAGGTCCAGTTCGGGGCATGTCGGTATTTTTCAGTCTCCCCCCTCCTTTGACTTAACACGTTGCCAGAACAGACCCCCGGCTGTTTGGTAATGATCCAACAATGTGGTCCTGGGTGTATATTACAGTGGTACCTGGGGCGGCCCTCAGAACAGTTAGCATCACCATCATTTCCGTTCGTTAGTCTGAATTTTACTGCACAGCCTCCCAAGTGTGTCTCGGGCGGTGGGGCTGCTGTGGGCCCAGCTCCATCCCACTAGGTCTGTGTGAGGGGAACACAACGCGCTCCACCTTGCTGGCCTCAACCTCGTCGCCTGTAAGACGGGTTTGCTAACGTCCCGCTCTCCAGGGCCGGTGTGGGAATTCAGTGAGCTGGTGTGCGGCTGGATCATGGGAGGCACCCTGTAGCCCTGTAACTGCCTTACCTGCGGTGGATTGTGTCATCCAGTGACATCCTCAGCAGTACCTCCTGTTGTACTTTCCTGCCACTCCTTGAAGGGCGGGGGCTTGTGACTGTAACCAGCAGAATTGCTGGGAGTGGTAGATGACACTTGCCTTCCCAGGCATGGTTAGGAAAGGCGGGGCACCTTCCGCCTTGTTTGCTGGAACCCCACCGGCTCCTCCCCTGACGGCCACCCGGGAGATCACGCAAAGAGCTGGCGCTCCAGCACACCCCCACGCCGTAGCCACCGAGCCAGGGCCTCCCCAAATTCCTGACCCACACAAACAGTGAGAGAGGCTAGAAAGACTTTAAGCCACAAGTCGAGGGGGGATTAGTACGCAGTGGGTAACCAGACACTGTGGGTTCGGGCACTGTGGGTGCATCCCCCTCAGACCTCGGGGCTCTGCCCACCTGAACCTCACACCGCTGCCCTGCGTGAGCCCAGCTGAGCCTTCCTGTGGCCTGCGTGGTCCCGACGGCAGTACTGGTGACAGTGGACCCACCCTTAGGTGAACTCTGGGGAGGCTTGGGGAGGGCTCCCAGCAGTGGGCACCATGACTCCATTTCCTTTGCAGATGGGGAAACTGAGGCTTAGCAAGTGTAAACAACAGGAACTGGCGGCCTTGATGGTGACCGTTGGGCCCCCTGGGCCTTCCCCCAGCCCTCCCTGCTGTGGTCCTGAGTCTCTCATGCCTCCCAAATTACTAAGCCCTCAGGGTGCCAGGAAGCTGGCACGGGGCTTAAGGCACCCATTTTGTTGGTCCCAGCCTGCTGTGGGTGGTGATGGGGGGCCTGGGACACTCGCCCACCGGGCAGTGCTGGGGCCGGGCCGGCTCTCATAGTCCTTATGATCACAGGACATACCTCAGCACAAACCATACAGGAACTTTGAGGACAAGGTTTATTACTGACGGGTCCTGGAGGGCACACAGCATTCCCGGTCACACAGCGAGTACAGAGAGCCGGGCTCTGAGTGCAGACTGCCACTGCCGCGCGTGTTCTCAGCACGTGCTGACGGGCGTGAGCGCGCCCTGGGGGCCCAGATCCGGGCTGAGGGCACAAGCAAGCTTCTAGAAATGTGTCAGAGCGAGTCTGCGGAGAACACGCCGCACGTTCGATGCTGGTCCTCAGGCCTGCGTCTGACTGGGAGAGCGCAAGGCCCAGGCGGCACGTCCCTGACCCTCCACCCAGTCCCACCCGTTGTTACTGAGCACTTACTGCGCCAGACCCCGTGTGTGCCGGGCAAAGGGGCTGTGTGGTCAGGATGCCTCCTGGGCGATGCCCCCTCCATGGGTCCTCGTCTGCTTTTGAACCCCTGAACGCCGAGAGTGTACCTCGCCTTTGGTTCCCACAGTGGGGCCTTGCGTAAATATCATTTGGGTCCTTACCTGCCTTCCATCCTGAAATGCCAGCTCCCTGAGTGTCCTTCATATGTTGGTGTCCCCCTGCAGGCCATTGCTCAACAGGCTGAGAAGGACCAAGCGCGCCTTTGGATCGTAAGAGCCTAGAGATTTTAAAGGGACCAGTTCAAGAAGCGGGACCTCCGTGCTGCTGTCAGAGCCCTTGCCGAGAGGTGGGAGGTAAGCACTGTGGTTCGTGGGCAACCCTTCCGCCTCGGAAAAGCAAAGGCAGCTGCGGCCTCCGCTCTCAGCATCAGCACCTGTCTGTGAATCTTAGGAAAAACAATGGAATTCACCCAGCACGCCTCCGTCTCCCCTAATCCCAGCCGTCATTGCCGAGGACATTACGCGTACATTACAAAATTCAGTGCTTGTGACAGAGGTGAAGGAGCGCTGTAATAAGCGCAGCATGTGTGTGTGGTGTCATTTTAACCCCTCGGAGGCACACTTTTCCCTTTTGGCGGCGTTCTCTGTTTGGCTTTTCCACGCTTAGCTCTGAGGCTGTTCATTCCCTGGCCTTTTGCAATCTCGCAGCTGGGTAGGTAATCGGGGATGATGTTGGCGTAGGCATTGTCTCCACAGCACTATCCGTCCCTTGGGTGCCAGGCCCTCTGCTGTCCCTTCCTCTGTGGCACGCGCCTGTGTCGGCTCCCGAAATGGACACAGCTTGGTGTGGAAACAGGATCGGGGCGGGTGGGGTGCTGACTGGGTCAGTTTTGGTATCTTTTTTCTTCACAACAAAGTGTATCATTTCCATCCCCCTCTCCCTATAGTGATTCTCGTCCCATGTGGACTGTCCCTTCCACTGCAGTGTCGTCCTGGCTTTTATCCTTTCGTTGGGCGTTACCAGCTTTCTCATCTCCTGTGTCTCCTGACTTAGCGGCTAACCTGGGAATAGAATTCTAAGTTGAACAAAGTTTCCTTTAGAATTTTTAAAGTTTTCCATCATTGTCTTCCACAGCCCAACTGGCTGTTAGCATGATTCTTTTAGATTTTTTTTTTTAAACATTTTTATTGGGGAATTGGGGGGATGGGAACAGTGCTAGGGAATTAGGGGAAGGGGAACAGACAAGTTGCTGTTGTTTTGTTCTTCAGTCTAGTTGTGGAGGACGCTGCTTCACTGGCCCAAGTTGGCACCATCAT